AAAGGACGTGTACCGTGCCGAGGAAGCCTCGCTTAATGGCTTGGAAAAAGCCGTAGACGTACTCATCGGGTATCTGCCGTATCAAAGCGCCCAGCGGAATTACAAGGACACCAAACAGCATCGACCAACCCCATTGCGCTCCATTAAGGGGGCGGGTGTCGAAGGCCTGGCCACCCTTCCAGATGATGATCATTTGCCCGGCCAAGGTGGCGCATTGCACGCCGATGAACCAGGGGTTCCGGAGGACGCCTTGGTACCAGATGTTGAGCTTGTTATCGACACGACGGCAGTTGTGCTGATTGAAGAATTGCATCCAGACGTAGATGTTGAAGATCATAGTCTGCAGTGCTTCGCGCTCCGCGGTTGTGGTGGGGTGGAAGAGTTGGTCTCCTGCGTAGTGGAGAGTGAACATGACTGCAAGCTGGTAGATTGCCTGGCCTAGGATCATCTTCCACATTGTAATATTTACAATGGGTGCTGTACGTGGCTCCGGCCTGCGTTTGAGGAAGTCTGGTGAGGGGTAATCGGTGGCCAGACCGAGCGAGGCGAAGATATCCATGATGAGGTTGATGAAGAGCAGTTGAACGACGGTGAAGATGGAGTCTCCTGCCAACTCGGAGACAACAGTCAGAGTGCCAGCAGTGATGTTAATTGTGAATTGGAACTGATAGTCTGTTAGCGTACCTTGCTTTGACTCAAAACCCAGATCTCACTTACTTGAAGGAACTTCTTCACAGCTGTATTCACCGTGCGACCCCATACCAACGCCTTCACAATCGAGGCAAAGTTATCGTCAAGCAGAATAATAGACGCAGCTTCTTTAGCAACCTCGGTTCCTTGGATGCCCATAGCAAAGCCTACATCCGCCGCCTTGAGAGCCAACGCGTCATTGGTGCCATCGCCAGTCACAGCAACCGTCTCGCCCATTTTTTTCAGATGGGATACGAGCAGGAGCTTATCTTCCGGGCTAGATCTCGCCAACACCTGGAGCCGCGGAATAACCAGATCCAGCTGGGCGGGGGTCAGCTTCCGGAACGTCGGCCCATCCATAGCCAAGCCGCCGGCTGAATAGATGCCACACTCTGATGCGATAGCCTTTGCCGTCAGAAAGTTGTCTCCGGTGACCATTCGCACAAACACCCCGGCCTCCTGGCACTGACGCACGGAGTCGAGGACCTCGGGTCTAAGGGGATCACGAATTCCAAAGACGCCGATGAACGTCATGTCGGCAAAGTGCTTCTCGAATTTGATGGAGTCGGGGTCATCTGGGTTTTCAAATGGTGCGTCAACGTCTTTGTAGGCGATGACAATAGGTCGGAGCATCTGCTTGGCGTACTCGCGGATCGTCGATCGCAGGTCATCTCGTATCTCGATCGTGACACGCTGTACAGAAAGGCCGGTCTTCGGTTCCTTGAGGACGTTGGCGCACTGGTCAAAGACGACCTCGGCCGCCCCTTTGACGAGAAGTCGGTATTTCCCACCGGGCAGCTTTGACATGACCGCCATCCACTTCCGCGACGCGTCAAAAGGGAACATGTCGACAATCTCGTTGTTTGCCCTCTCCTCGCTAAGTGGCCCCATGGCAAAGAACTCGCGGCTGAACCTGAGCAGAGCAGTCTCGGTGCTCGTCCCCACGAAGCCAGCATCGTTCGGATTATCGCTCTCGAATGACGTGGTATTCAGCGCGATGCTATTCTTCATCAGCGCTCTCACATCGCCGCTCAAGGATTCCAGCAAGGCTTTGGGGTGTTCCTGATCCGAGGCATCATCGGTGCTCAGGTCTTTCTTCGCATCGTCCTTGCTGATTTCTCTTGGCGCGTCACCGAAACGTTCATGGAGTCCGATTCTACCAGCGACGACCTTCATGCTGTTCTGTGTCAATGTTCCGGTCTTATCTGAGCAGATGCATGTGGCATTACCCATGATCTCACAGGAACGGATGAGGCGGACGAGGTTCTTGTCCTTGAGCATTCTGGTCGTGGCAAAAGCGAGAGCAAGGGTGACGGCGAGGGCTAGACCTTCGGGCACGGTGATCACGACGACAGTGACGGCTAGGATCAAGAGTTTGAAGAAGGTCTCGGCCTTTTCAGAGGCAGTTCCTCTCATGGTTGGGAGCCCAACGAGGAAGCGGATAAACAGGATGAGGAAGAAGATGATACCGGCAATCGCACCAAACGTAATGAGTTGCTTTGCCAACTTTCCCAGCTTCTGCTGCAGAGGAGTTTCCTCGACGTCCTCTCTCAACGACATCAAGGTCCGGCCATACGTCGAGTTGGTTCCTACCGATGTCACGAGATACGCGCCGACACCACCGGAGACTGTCGTGCCGCTGAGGATGAAGGGGTCAGTGGCCGAAGATCTGTGAGCTTTTCGGTTGCGGATATCACTCTCGCTGGGAACGTTCTTGTGCACGAGTTCAGACTCGCCCGAGAGGGAGGACTCGTCGACCTGAATACCGGAGCCCTGAACAAGTACTCCATCGACGGCAACGACATCTCCAGTCTCAATGTGCATGATTTCTCCAACCTGCACGTCGTATACAGAGATGTTCTGGGTCTTCCCGGACCGTATGACTTTGACATCTCTCTGCTCCTTCCTCTCATTGAGCTTAGCGAACCTGGCGTTCTTTTGCCAGTCCGTAGCAGCACTGGCGAACACAATTACCAGAATAGCTACAACAACGGTGACACCATCGACCCATTGGATATTCGGCTCGTCATCGGATGCATCTACCGTTTCGTAGATACCAAGCGCCAGAGAGATCGTAGCTGAGATCGTGAGGAGGAACATGAGCTTGTCGTTGAACGCGATCCATGCAAGCCTCAGAAACGATTTTTGCTTTCGTTTCGGGAGCCTGTTTTCGCCATATATACGCCTCCGGTCTGTATAGCCCTGGGCTTCATGTTGAATCAGGTCCAGGTCCAACTTGATACCGTGCTTGTGTTGTGTTGTCGGAGGTTGAAGCGTGATTGCGGCAGCCCGGTGTGCCTCTCCTGCGGCGACAGCTTCTTCGAACGATATTGTGCCATCGAGGCTTGTCTCGTCTACACTGAGCCCGGCGGCGAGATCTGTCCGCAAGCCAGCCGCGAGGCCGGGAAGACCACCAAAGCGTCGCAGTGCTGATAGGTTGCGCGCTGTGATCAGCTTGTGGAGTTGCGTCGGCGTGAACGCGAATCTGTTGTTCTCAATGACAGTATCATCGCGGAGGTCCAATTCTTTTGAGTTGTCCTCCAGCTGCTGTGCGAACTGCTTGCTGAAGGGGTCTTGTGATGGAGCCTGGCCTGTATCTGGCTGACGCGGCGCGGCGGCCGTGATCTCGTCATTCATCGTCTTGTGTCTCCAGTCGCCAGAGGAAGGTTTATTTGGACAGCGATGGGCGTGACGACAGACAGATGTTCAAGGTCAGGTCTCAAAAATGGCAAGAATTGACGAGTAGAAAAACAGAGACACGCAGCGCCAGAATGTCCATAATTCCATGATCAGCAGGGGGGGAACAACAGTTGGTAATATGTTATGGTCATCTGGAGCCGACCTTTGGGGCAACGGCACGGATCTGAGAGCCGCGTCATTGCATCTTGGCGAATCTCACATTCGTGCCGAGAGAAATCCAAGGCTTCTCGGCACGCTATGAGGAAGTTGACTGGTCGGGGTGGGTTGGACGATGTCTGGGACTAGGACTCGTTGCACAAGCCTTGTGGCCTTGGGTCGTGGGGGATGTGGAGATCAACGGGCTTCGGGGGTCGACCCGCTAGGCAACTGAATTGGATTTTGTTTGCAACCGTACGGCGAACGGCACGTGGACATCGGTGAGTCCGGGAATGTTCGCCTCTTGAGATGGCCTTCGGGCGCGAATGAAGCGGAGATGTGTGGTCTTGGGTGACTCTTCGGCCGTTCGCGGTGGTCATCCGGGGCACTTTGACGCCGTCTTTTCGGTGTCGGCGTGGCTGTGTTCTTCGGAAGATGCGAAGGAGATGTGGATAGTTGCAGGGAACGTCTGGCCTCAAGAGTTGACTTGGCCCAGTTATCTCAGCGGCTGTTCGGCTCATAAGCGCCTTGGCGTGTCTAGCGAGAGACTTGGCTTTGCCCCATTGACATCATTCAGGGTTTTGTTTGCACGATGTTTCGTTTTGTAGCTTTGTTCTTGGGTGCTGTACAATACTTGTGTTGATTCAATCGAGTCAATTTGAGGTACTGCGTATAAATCGTTTGAGTAAAGTAGACTGAAACGCTCTGCTTCCTACCTCTTGAAGTTGAAGATTCGCTCCTATTTAGCCTGAGCTCATGGTGGCTTACAGAGGCAACATTGAAATAAGCTCACTGAAACTAGTCACCATAAGGTTTCGGTTCAGTGAGATTGAGTAACATGGAATACTGGGCTGCTGAGGCCAAACTCAATCGATCTCGGCAATGAAGGAAGAAAAAGAACTCGGATGAAGAGTAAAATCCAAGGGCAGATGTTATTTCTTGTCGACTTTGACCTAAGGTTTCATTTGACATATGCATAGCTTTGATACACGTGAGCAGCTTAACGAGGCTCATCTTCTGCTTCAAGCACACGCAATCTAGCAGAGAAAGAAAGTGATCCTAAGCTTGAGGACTAGAATCAGCATACATTCTTCGTTCGCGAGACCTTCTAGCTCGCATAATCTTGTTCAATGTCTTTTGCGCATGAATTGGGTCCTTCATCATTCTGACTTCAAACTTGTGATTCGCTAAGCATTGGAAATACGCCATTCTGACCATACCGATATCTTCATGTTGTGCAGCTGATCGGCCTCGGACAATGAATTGGCGTTGTCCGCTCGGACTGGACATTGTGGTCACTAGCGCTCGGCCGCACGCATACTAGGCGATGAAACCTGGAGCACGACGTACCTTATGATAGCCGCAATCTTGAATATCGACATCATCACATCACCATTCAAGCTGCGAATACGTTGCAGCATCCTCAACATTTCAGTCACCGGCATTAACTCTTGTTCCAGGTGGACTCATAAGCAATGTCTTCCCCAATCCGTAACATTGCCATCATCGGCGTAAGTCCGGACCTCACTAGGCATGAGAGCCTCCCTTAGAATAGCAGGTTCATGATCGAATGCTAAAGCTCCCGACCTCAGGCGACGGGCCAGATGGGCTCTGAAATATCCAAGACCTTGCTTCAGTCCGGCTTCAATGTCACTGCCATCCAACGCTCCGACTCCACCAAGACCGTTCCCTCGGGAGTCAAGTCTATCAAACTCGACTTGAATGACGTCAGTGCTCTCACTACAGCTTTCCAAGGCCAGGACGCGGTCATCTCAGCTGCACCGGACCCAATTGTTCTGGAGAACCAGAAGCCGTGGATCGACGCTGCTGTCGCTGCCGGGGTGAAGCGTATCGTCCCTTCCGAGTACAGCACCAATGTAGACTCGCCGCTCGCCGAGGGTCTGCCCATCGTCGTCGACAAGGTCCGCGCCAGACGCTACCTCATTGAGAAAATTACCGAGAACGGCAATAATTCGAGCTGGATGAGTGTAAACAACGGTCCCTTCTTCGAGCTCGTGCTTGGCTTTGGTGGGTTGGGTCCGAATTTCCGGAGCAAGACGGCAAAGTATCACAATGGCGGCGACAACTTGATTGGGACTACAAAGATTTCGGATGTCGCCGAGACGATTGCCAAGGTCTTGCGTGGTGAGGGGGGATTGTACAAGGAGGCTGAAAATAAGTCGTTGTATATTCATTCGGCGGCGGTCAGTGAGAAGCAGTTGACGAAGATGGCGGAGAAGGTGACAGGGCAGAAGTTTGAGGTGCAGAATTTTGATGTTGAGGAGGTCTATCAGAATGCTAAGGCTAAGTTCGCCGAAGGTGATCGGTCGGTCTGGATTGACTTCTACTATCAAATGATGTATGGGAAGGGTTATGGGGGTAGCGAAGGCTTCCAAGAGATGAGTTGGAACGACAAGGTCGGGTTGAAAACAATGAGCGACAAGGAAATTGAGGATGGGCTCAGAAAGGCGGCTCAGCAGGCTGGTATGATCTAGGCAATCAGTTGAGAAATGAGTCAATAGAGATGTGATCGTATTGTGACAGTCTTCCTAATCGAACATGTATGGCTTCAATCCTAAACCCAGTCTGAAGATCCTTAATCCGTACGCCTCCGAACCAAAATGAAAGCAATCGCCTCAAAGCTTCGAGCGACCCCTCCAGGCATGTCCCATCTCATCCTTGAACGTAGCAAGCTCATTCCTCTTGCTGTCACCACCGTGACTGACCTGAACAGGCTCATCAAACACAGTCTTGCTCTTCTTCTCCTGCCTCTTCTCCGCGTCAACGTACTCTCGCTCTCCCTCGCCAATGTACAACTGACGCGGGCGCCAGATTTTGACGCCGCCCTTTTGCAGCATCTGCTGCCTCCAGTGTGCCAACCATCCGACGCAGCGGGGCACGGCAAACAGCACGGGATAGAAGTCAAGCGGGAAGCCCATGGCCTGGTAGATGAGGCCGGAGTAAAAGTCGACGTTGGGGTACAAGTTGCGCTTCTTCATGAACTCGCTCTCGCGCGCGTACTTCGCAAGCTCCAGCGCAGTGTCGAGGAGCTGGTTGCGACCTGTGACTGCAAAGACCTCCTCGGCCAGCTGGCGGATGGCAGTCGAACGGGGATCGACGTTCTTGTAGACGCGGTGACCGAAGCCGACGAGCACGCGCTCGCGCTTCTCAACCTTTTGCATGAAAGCGGGAACATTCTCGGGGCTGCCGATCTCCATCAGCATACGGATTGCGCTCTCGCTGGCACCGCCGTGACTAGGGCCGTAGAGCGCGGCGCAGCCGGCGGAGACGACGCTATAGGGGTCAACGAGACTTGAGCCGACCTGCAGGACCGTGGCGGTGGAGCAGTTGACCTCGTGGTCGGCGTGGATGATAAAGAGCGCGTCAAGGGCGCGCTCCAGGACGGGGTGAGGCTGGTACTCGTGCCCGCTCAGGTGGTCGAGCAAGTAGAGGAAGTTGCCGGTGTAGCTGAGTCCCTGGGCCGGGCGGTTGAAGGGTCTGCCCTGGCGCATGCGGTATGAGGCAGCGGCTACCGTGGGCGCCTTTCCGATGATGCGGAGGATCTGCTTGTCGAGCATCTTGAGGGCCTCGAGGTCGCCTGAAGCCGCGTTGGTGTACAGCTTCTGGCTCTGCAAACTCGGGTTCGACTCGGGAGCGAAGGCACCCATTGATGAGAAGGAGGCTTGCAACATGGCCATGGGATGTGTGTCGTAGCGGAACGACTTGAACATGCCCTCGATATCGCTATGGATGTAGGTGTGGTGCATAATCTCATCTTGCCACTTGTTGTACTGTGACGTTGTCGGCAGCTCGCCGTAAATGAGAAGGAACGCTGACTCCAAGAAATGCGACTTGTTGACAAGCTGCTGGATGGGGTAGCCGCGGTACCGGAGGATGCCCTCCTGGCCGTTGATGTAGGTGATGTTGCTCTGGACCACGGCGGTGTTCATGTAGGCCGGGTCGTAGACTCGGAGACCCTGGTCGGTCTCATCCTCCGCGCGGTCATCGCCGCGAGCGGCCTTGATCTTCTTGATATCCGTAGCCAACACGGAGTTCCTGGTAATGGGCAGCTCGTAAGACTTGCCAGTGCGGTTATCGACAATGGTCAGCGACTGTCGCGGCGCGCTGGTTGCGCCACGTGGCGCGTTCTTTGCAACGGTGACCATTTCCGATGGGCAGTTGGGGGTCGATTCTGAGAATTACTGGCTTCAAGAGATGAGATGACAGTGGAATTCAAGGGCTTTCAATAGGACGTTGCTTGAGCCCGGGCGGATGGATTTCAGATGCTACGGACAATGTTCCTTGTCCGGAGAGCTTCTCCTGAGCAGGTGAAAGCTGCGCTAAGACCGTCGGTTGACGTCGGGAGATCGGCAACTGTGCCCGAGTGCCGAGGTTCAATTGCAACTCTCCACGAGTTCCACCAGATCCCCAGATTAGTGGCTGAAGCTAGCTGCATTTGCACATGCCAGGGGTGGGATCATGATCTAGGAAGAAGCTTCCATCCTGGTCCAGGAACCACCAGATGATCATGTTCTCCTTGTCGGACCAGCGGCGATTCTTGCGCGCACAATGAACTCGGCATCATCCTCGAGTAGATAGTCATTTTCTGGGCGGGGCTGAAGCCAATGGAGGATGCGACTCTCTCTCATGGCATTTGATCCCATTGCATGTGATCGGAAGCTGTAACCAAACCTTGCAGGGTGCTTCCATCGATGTACGGGTATCACTAGAGGCCATGCACTTTGAGTAAAGGTGACCGAAACAGGCAGTGCCGTAAAAGCGTAGAGACTGAATTTGAGAGAAATAGAAAGAGCAAATTCCTTGAGTTCGGGACAGTGTTTACTAGTAGCGATTGTGTTCGTGATTTGTGAAGGAGCTACCCATACTAGATCCGGTCTCAACTCGTGTCAATCCCTCAGAAATGTCTACATTACAGGGACCTACTCTATCTTCCGCTTCACCTTTTGGACAGTAGTGAAAAGAGTTGATAGCACTTTTCTCAAGTTTCTGAGACAGAATTTTAATAGATCTGAGTGTCATCGCGAGATTTAGAGCGTGGTAATAAGTTCAGTCTAATCTGGATAAGTACGCCAATGAGAAGCAACATACAAGCTTCAACAGGAGCGGGAAGGTGCAAGCCTACCAATTCATGACTACACAGTAACACAGATGACTGCTTCTTTCCATTCTTTCTTCTCTCAATTCGAGCTTTAGTGAGATTGCTTATGGTCCGTCGCATCCATGATCTCTACAACCATGGGGAACTCTAGCGATTATTATGAAAGGTAGTTGACAACGGTCATCAGTGGAAACTTAGTTGCGCATCAGAATTGAAGTTTCCGTGCTTGGAGCAATAACTCAAGACGACACTTCAATCAGAGAATTGAGCTTTGTTTTGGAATACTTTTTGGAAGCCTGGCGACCCATCTCTCTCAAAGGTTTCTCTTGTCATACCATGAAGATGTCGATGTGTGGATCAAGTGCCTTCAATAACCCTGATCCATGCAAAAATCAGAACAAGACTCATGGTTCGAAAGAAGATGACCAAACTTTGATACCTATTGTAAATACAACGGCGACAGGCTTCCCCGCAAACCCGCACAGTGGGCTACCTTGCGGCTTGCTAGGTACAATTTGGGGTAGAAGCAGGGTGAACGTTTAGGTCGCGTTTCCTCCGCACTTCTCGCACTTCTCTGCAGATCACCTCCGGATGTCTTTATAGCGCACTGCAAATCACTACAGTTGAACTTCCTTTTTGAATTCATCCTTCCTAGAGATCTCGGGCTAATTCATCGCGTAACCAAGCACGCCGACGTCACTTACCAGAACCATGGGATTGAGGGGAAGAACATGCATCTAAGCACCCCGGTTGATCCGGATCGTCCTCCGTGTGGAGGAATCCAAGCTGGTAATTCTTCCGGGTAAATTGCTACAAGATGCCGCTTCTGCCATATTTGCTAGATACTTTGAACACTTGCTTGAAAGTCTCTTTGACCCCAGACTTGCACGCATAATACTCTGGATCGGAGTGCGCAAGATGATTTTGACACTTCTGTGCACCACCTTACTGCCGGTGGTCGCGTTGGCAAGCATCGACCGGTATATACATCTCTACTAAATGTCTGTTAGGCCACCGTTCAACTGACGCATCTGACTAAGACAGCGTGTTGTGTCTCAATTCAATGTTGTCCGCACAAGCTTGATCGATAACAACACCACGCCATTGCAAGTTGGCAATGGCAACTTCGCCTTCAATGTCGATAACACGGGCATGCAGGTGAGTATAAACTGCGAACATACAGTGTGTGTACCTCAAGGCATTCAAGCTGAAGTTGCAAACTCTGACAGACTTTCCTGCCCTTCAATACGCTTTCGAGCTGGGCCTGGCACAATGATTCGCTTCCAACCAATGGGTTTGTCATACGGCGAGGATCTTGAACAGGATAGATTGCTGAGACTACACCCACAGCGAAAAGCTAAGCGACTACACCGGCGTTCCTATGCTGACCCATGGCCGAAACGTTTCCTACGACATCCCCGACTCTAAGCTCCCGCAAGTCTCGCAATGGCTCATCGGGAACCCTAATCGCATCAATTTGGGCCGAATCGGTCTGAAGTACAAGGGGGAGACGCTATCGGCGGCAGCCATTTCTGAACCAAGACAAGAGCTGGACCTCTGGAGCGGCATCATCACCTCGACTTTCAAAGTGGACAGTAAGGCTGTTGAGGTGGTCACACAGGGCGACTTCGCAACCGACGCCGTCACATTCCAAATTGAATCGGACCTCGTGTCCTCTGGCGATTTGACCATCGAGCTCGACTTCCCGTACCCGCCTATTCACACGACAAAGTACAAGTACGAAGTTTTTGCTGGCGTGTACGACTTCCCGTTGAACCACACGACTCGAATCGTCAATAGTTGTGGACGATCCGACCTGGCTCACATTTATCATGAGTTGCAGGAGACGAGCTATTTTGTCAATCTGCGCTGGCCTCATGAAGCGCCTCTTGACCTCTCGCGGGATGAACCAGAGGGCTCTGATAAGGTCAACGCTCATCGATACACGCTTTCTTCTGTTGGTGGTACTAACCAGAGTTCTACTTCTTTGACATTTACTGCGGACTTTTCACCCCAGAAGCAGGATCCCAGGCCCCCGGCTGATGTTCAAAAGGAAAGTATCGCTGAATGGCACGACTACTGGAACGAGGGCGGCTTCGTCGACCTGACCTTATCATCGAACCCGAATGCTACAGAGTTGCAGAGACGCATCATTCTATCGCAATATCATGTCCGCGTTAATAGTGCAGCATCCGGTCAATCACCTCAGGAGAGTGGACTGATGAACAATGGGTGGTACGGTGCGTCTGTCCACTTATGTACCATTCGAAGAGGATTTCGAAGCTGATTCTGGCAGGTAAATTTCACATGGAAATGGTCATTTGGCACAATACCCACTGGGTGACATGGGGACGAAAGAAGTATTTCGACAACATA